ACTTTATATAGGAAAAAAAAAAATTATATCTACTTTTCATCCGATCAATTAGTATTTTCATTCAATTTTTATCACTTTCTTATAAATATCATCACAAATAGTATTATTAATCTTTCAGAAACTATCAACCACTTGTTACACACGAAACACACAATATGTTATTTTCACACACATAATACGTAGTTTTACGTACTATTTCAAGCGAAGCATTATAAAAATAATAAAAAATTCATGATGAAAAATAATGATTCTTTTAAAATCGAACAAGATTTTGATAATCACAAATATTTGTATCAAACATCTGGTCTGATGATCCACTTGTAATCGCCGAAGGTTAAACGTCCGTCTTTTAATATAATGTAGACAAGACTCACTTATTTTTAAGTATTTTACATTATAGATTTATAAAAAGAATCATACCATTTTTATCTTTTTCGAAGCAGGAGCAGATATTCCTCTTCGTTCCGGAATATGGAATATTTTCTCCCAAAGGATCCCCCCACTATTCACTGGTCGCATGCGCATTAAGATTGACATGGTTTTTTCTTCCTTTTTCCTCGATTATGTATGTTGAAATACTTGATATCACAGAATTAATTAATATCTTACTATTACGTAAGTAAAGATTGTTAGGAACTTTCCTAGTATGAATTATTTCAAATAGAAACTGGTATTTAAACGTATTAAACTATTATTTTAAAGTAATAGATTTGTTCAAAATGCTAATACTAATTATATATTTTTATTTGCTTCTGTATTATAATACATGTATGTACGTTAGAAGACAAATAAAAATGATATAAAATTATACATCGTACAACATAACCTCCCCAATTAAATGCTACTGTTGCTGACACTTTAAAGAGACAGATACAATTTTTTGTTATTTCTTTTATTATTATTTTAAGCACTATATCAACTTATTTACTAGTTATGTTAATTGATTGTATTATTACATCTGTTAATTCTATTTAAATGTGAATAAAGTAAATGCATCGAGCTTTATCGTAACTGGAGTGCGAAGTGTGAACTCCTATAGGGAGATGTAGCTGCGACAGCGGTCCGAGAGAAATGCAAGGCAAGGCAAAGGCAAGACTGTAAGATGGATGGTTCCGGTTATGTTCCGGTTTCCGGTCCTACGCGAAGTAGGTCATTGACCTGTAGCACTATAAAGCTCAGTGGATATAGTACACCGAAACTGTTCAATAAATTCAACCAAATTTCGAAGATTTGGTTAATGAAAAACGTTCCCAAGTATCTTTCGAAAAAAAAGATGATATTATTTTATTTAAATAATAT